AGTGTTTCCCCACTTCTTCGGATTGTGTCGTCCGCATAGGGTCCGGAAAGAACTGTTAGTTACAATAGGTTTCTTTCCGACATCGTCCGACCTCCTGAGCCCGGGTTCATCCCCGTCTCGCCTCTACGCATAGGGTCTTTTTTGCTCTACTCCAATTCCATGGCTTTCCCATCCGACATCCGTGACACATTTCTGTAAAAGAATATTTGCTGTTAATTTAACTTTTATTTCCACTGTTTCAATATACCACTGTTATTTTTCAAGAAGAAAATGAAGAAAAAAACAATGCTGAAAAAAGCAGTAAGAAAAAGATCTCCCACTTATACACTAGATCAGTGGTTCTCAAAGTTTTAGTCCGCGGACCACTTACACCAAGTCACAGATGCGGTGGACCACCTATGCCTACGTCCACTTCTTACCCTGTAAAAATCATCACCCATTAATGGACTAAAAACAACTAATATTGAATTAAATTTGATGAAAATACTCATCTTTTACCAACAAAGCTGCATTTTCTGCAAATGTTTTTATTACTTAAAAATGTGAAGAATGGAGCTGCTTTTGTTGAGCAGCCAGAGAAGTGATATCAGGATCCAAGCTGGACAACTTCTGTCTCATGTCCGGCTCTACGTTCAGCCGATTTCTCTACTTTGTTTTCAGTCCAACAAGTGTCGAAAATCCATGCTCACAAGTGTAGGTTGTTGCGAACATGATGGATGCTTCAGAGCTATGTCACTAAGTCCAGCGTACTCGGATCGTACATGGAGCAGAGAACCGATCATTTGTATCTTAAATTAAAGTGATTTTAAGGTTTCAAATGGATGTTTTACCATATTTAAGCCCCAGTTGGTTGTTTCACAAGGCAAAGCGGCAGGAAACGTTAGCAAACAGACAACAGTGCATTGCAAAGAAAAAAAACATAATGGCAACCTCGTTAGAGCAGATCAGGACACAACTCCAGAATGGTGAGATAAAAATATAGAAGAGAGAGGGACAAAAGAGCCAGTTGGGAGAGGTCTGGAGAAGAAAAAAGCACAGGTGAAGTTAGCTCAGGTGGGGAACTGTGTCAGCATGAGTAGTCTGCAAAGGAACAAGTAATAGGTTTATTCCATGCTGAAAAGAGAAGAGAGAAAACACAACGTTTCGGCTGTGAAGCCTTCTTCAGGTGTGAGAAAGGGCAGACAGCAAAGATTATATAGCACAAAAGAACAAAAGCTGGGAGGGGGGAGGAGGCAGGAGGGGCAGAGAGGCCACTCAGGAAGTGTGAAGTGCAGAAGGGTGAAGGTGTGAAGTCAAACCCTGCATGAGAATAGAGAAGATCACACGGAAATAACTCGGTTATTGAGAGAAGGGGGACGGTGTGAACCGAGTTTCAGGATGATTTTAGTTTCTGTTGTCTTTCTGCTGTGGGAGGTGAGAAGCCCTTCTTTGAGAACAGAGACAGAGAGATCAGTGTGATCATGGCCGTCTGAGGTGAAATGAGAAACTATGGGCTTGGAGAGATCTTTAGTCTTCACAGCCCGAACATGTTCTCTGAAGCGGTCTCCTAGTCTCCTTCTGGTTTCCCCAACGTAGAAACAGTAAATTAGGTTGCTGGAGGTACAGGATGTCATCTGGGAGTTCTGGAATTGACCTGAGGGGCCCTAAATAAGTGTGTTGTTAGATATGTATTTGCAGGTGATGCAGTAAGTCCTGTTACAGGGGTGACTGGTGGGGATGATTGCTGAGTTTGGTCAAGGGAGCTGTGAACCAGAAGTTTACCTACATTGGGTGGTTACTATTCCACACCAGCTCTGTTCTACAGTACCTTGCAAAAGTATTCACCCCCCTTGGACATTTTCACATTTTATTGTGTTACAGCATGGAACCATGATGTATTTAACTGAGAGTTTTTGCCACTCATCAGCACAAAGTACTCTATGATAGATAGATAAGACTTTATTAATCCCGAAGGGAAACTGATAATGTCAAAGTGAAAGGAAAATCCAGACATTTTACTAAATTAATCAAACAAAAAAACAGAAAATAATTGAATGCTTAAGTATTCGCCACCTTGCTTTGACACACCTAAATTACCTCTGAAGTAACCAGCTCTCTTCTCCAAGTCACAGAATTACTTGACTGGAGTCCACCTGGAGTCCACCTGGAGGTGCTTCACATGATTTCAGAATAACTACACCTATGTCTGGGAGCTTCCCCACTTAGTGCTTTTCCAAGGAAACACTACACCATGAAGACCAAGGAACATCCAAGCAGAATGCTTGGTTCTTGAAAAATACCAGTCAGGGCAAGGATATAAGAACATTTCCAAGGCATTAAAAAAATATACCTTGAAGCACAGTGAAGTCCATCATTAAAAAGGTGAGAAAATATGGAACAACTGAGAATCTGTCCAGAACTGGTCGTCCTCCAAAACTGAGTGTCCGGTCAAGCAGAGCCGTAGTAAGAGAGGCCACCCAGAGGCCTACGGCAACTCTAAAGGAGTTACAGTCCTCCATGAGAGAGATGGGAGAATCTGTGCATGAGACAACAATAGCACACACACTTCATACATCTGGCCTCATAAAGCGTGGCAAGAAGAAAGCCTTTGCTGAAGAAAACTCATATTACATCTCGGCTGGAGTTTGCTCAAAGGCATGTGAGAGACTCAACAATTTGGAGGAAGATTCTATGGTCTGATGAGACCAAAATTGAAAAATTGAAAAATGTCCTGGAGTGGCCCAATCAAAGCCCAGACCTCAATTCAATTGAGCATCTGTGGAATGACTTAAAAATTGCTGTTCACAAACAGTCCCCATCCAACTCGATGGAGCTTGAGCAATTGTGCCAAGAAGGATAGGCAAATATTCCAGTGTCAAGATGTGCAACGCTGACAGAGACTTACCAAAAGAGCTGTCATTTCTGCCAAAGGTGGTCCTACCAAGTATTAACTCTGTGGGTGGGGGGCGAATACTTGAATTGCTTGGATTCTTTCATAATGCCTGATATGAGAGCCACTGGCCTGTAATTATTTAGGTATTTTGCACCTGATTTTTGTATAATAATAGCAGACCTAAAATAACAGGACTGCTACAGTGACATATTAAATAATTTATTGAAGATGGGTACAGACACCAGTTCAGACACCAAAAGCCACAACTGAAACAGACACAATAAAGGTTTCATATAGTGACATCTCACCTCTGTGCTTCTTGTATGAGCTAAAGCATGCCCCTCTGCCTACAATATTATCTCTGTACTGAAGAGAAAAAATGTCTGTCATCAATTCTACTTTCATTTTCCAGATCCAGTCTTCGAAATTGGCTTTACATGCAGAGATTAAAATAGGTTTACAATGCAAAGGAAAATATTTACACGTTGCAGTTGTCCAGTGAACTACTGTGTATTCTAAGCATCCAAAGAAACATCATTTACAAGGGCTATACTGTAAATTCACACTTGATTGTTCCAGCAATCTGTTTTAAAAGAGGTGTTCTGACATAGTATCTGGCAGAATTGAAATCCACTGATTAAAAATTGCAATCAGCTGGGTTGATCAAGAAGTATTTCCTGTAAAGGTCACAGGTCAGCAGTGTGGGTGTGTGGTCACTGATAAATTCACTCACACTGTCTGCCTGGAACTCCTGCTCTGCTCTAGGTTGCTGGTGCTGTCTTGTGAGATACTGTCACTTTCCCCTTGTACAGCCTGGACAAGCCCATGCCTGTTCACTGGTCTTTGAGCCCAATCAGCCACTGTTCACCCTAGATCACCCCAGCAGTGATTAATGTCAGAGGTATATTAATTGTGAGGACTGCTCACTGGTGTCTGAGCCCTGGAGGCCCATTGGGATGGCAGTGTATGAAGGGTCCCTTCTATCAATGCTCTTTCGAGCTACAGCAATGCAGTGTTTGCAAGAAAACAGCAGTGCTTTTGAGTTTTCAATGGCAAATCTTGTAATTGTGTTTCAAATTCTTACACCTTCCAGTGAAGGAATAACTGCTGAGCAAATCATAAAAAGGGCAAAATTTCCTTCATACACTTTCCTGTGTTTTGGAGAATTAACAATATTCCAGTCTATATGTTAACACGTATTAAAATAAAAACTAGACTGAGGTCGTATTTCTTCTTCTAGAATTTGGGCCATTTCATAAGCAATCAGGAACAGTAGAGTTGGTGGTCTCTAATGCATTACAAGGGGTTGGATACACTGTTGGACTTTGTAACAGTTAACACTTGTTTTGTTCTTATTGTACTTTATTTCACTGGAAAAAAAAGACTATTGTTTATCATTGTAAGGAATTAAGTGATACTTGTTTAATGGCATGCAAAGAAAAGATTAAAAAAATCTGTTTATCATGTTCTTAATGTTGGAAAAACAATCATTGAATTTAGGAAGTTATTTTAGGTAAGTAAACATTTTATTTTTAAGTACATCAGGGCAGAAAAAAGGTACCCAAGATCCCACCCCAAGACACACTTGTGAAACAGCAGGTTTGAAGAGTGACGTCAGCAAGTCAAAGCCACAGAGAAGAACTCTGACAGAGAGATGACAAGACAGAAGACAAACATTTCCTGACACTGTACCATATCAGCTTGCTTAAAATCACCTCAGTTTTCCTTTCATTGGTATTGAAGAGAGTAGTTTAACTTTTTTACAAAGCATTTGGCTTCATCATACTATAAATATCCACAGAAGAATTGGATAAGAGATTTAAAGAAAATGAGCTCAACCATCAAGGACCAAATCATCGACAGCCTGGACAGTCTGGATTCAGACAGGTTGAAGAGATTCAAGGAGAAGCTCATTGATATGGGAAAAGATGGCCAGTCGTCAACTATGATACGATAGACCTGGCAACACGTCTGATTATTGTCTTTGAGGAAGATGGCGCAGTTAATAAGACAATTACAATTCTGCGTGGCATTCACGAAAACAAAATCGCTTCAGATCTGGAAGGCAAGATGGAACATGGTAAGTTCTAAAGGTTATTTTAAAATCAGATTCATGTTTTGGTTTTCTACTTCACAGTATAGTTAAAATCTACAGTATGTAACATGATATACTGTATATGTCCATTGTATTATATGCACCGTGATCTATGCATGAAAGAAAAACAAATGAAAGGTGTTCATTTATATTTTATAAATACACCTCTGCAATGACAGTGGTAGTTGTAGTGACAACAATAGTGACTGCAGGGTTAGTGACGGTAGTAGTGTAGTAGTGGTAGCCATGACAGAAGTAGTAATTTGAGTAATACTGCAGGTCTTGATCTATAATAAATCTTGCAAGGACACTGTTTGTACAGCAGGCCTGCTGTATGCACTAGTGAAGTCAGGTAGATCATGCAACACATCATCAGAACAATTACAGTTTTTAGCATTGATATATTTTATTTATGTTTATTTTTTTCCATTGACATTATAATGTAATGTATATTTCTTTCCCTGAATAGTTTTGAAATAAGCATAAACTATAATATTTTATATGTACCATATCATTCCTCTGAAGAGAAAGCAGGGAATATCGCTGCTGTATTGCTAAAGTAGGAGATTTTGACTTTTGACTTTTGTGTTTCCCCAGCAGATGATCTTCCAAGACTGCTGTGGAAGTAGTTTGTGTGTCTTTGTGCTTTTAAATTGCTATTTTTCTCCTAACAAGTCAGTAGGTTTAAACAGATACATGCTAGATTCTTTTGTACACATATTGTACGTGAAGGTCATCTTATACAATACTGAAAGGTGTGACAATAACATTATTTTTTCTTGTACTTGCATGACATCATATCTGCTGTTTCCTTTGAATCTACACTTAATTGAAACTTTGTATAGAATGTCACAATGAATAACGCCACCAGTTAAACACAGAAACGTGAGTTGTTTTTCAAGATTTTGAATATAAGTAGGGACTTACACATGTGAACTCAAGCAGTCTAGCATTCAAACTGTATGTACATTAAACAAGAATCTCAGTTTAAATGAATATTAAAACCCGTCCAACACATGCTTTCCTTTATTTTGCCTGCAGGCCGGCTTGCTGTGGACCTGGGTGAGTAGCCAAAGTGTTGCAGAACTTCATTTTCATTATTCCTGAAAGAGCAGACTAACTGGACAGAGACACAATGCAGTCAATGCTGGAAAGGATCAATGCTAACCACTGCTCCACCTTGTCAGCCTTATTTATTACCAGCTCAGAAACTACTAAAATACAGAGGTTTTATTTTTCAGATGGTTTACCTGTGATTATGTGGTTAAAATTAAAATGATCTAAAATCACTGTGTAATTAGTATGATGACCAGAGTCAACGGTTGCCAACTAAGATCTATAAGTGATCAGGACAACATCATCTCTATACCAGAGATTCCCCTGCTGAGTGAAATATTAATCAACTACAAATACATTTCCTATGAATCTGAAAATATGTTCTGAATAATAATTCCGATAGTTATTCTGCTATATAATAACTACTTAAAATATCAAATTTTGTTAA